TCTTCACACCTTCTAAGCATCTCTTTTAAATATTCATCCATACAACTTTACGCACCCAAATAGGTGTTTTGGATGATCTTTTCCAAGTGAATACAAATCCTTATTGAACCCTTCATTTTGCATTAATTAATGCTTTTTGCACATTTAAAGGTCCTCTTGAACAAGTTGCTAGAACTCGTGACTCATAACCCTTAAGGATGTGAAGATAGATAACACTCGAGCCTTTTGGCGATAACCGAATTTACATCATTCCCTCTCTCTTGAAGATGATTTGTCCTCAAATTGAGCTCTTGCTTGTAATGGAGCATATCGGGAATGTTTACATGAATGCGAGCCATAAAATATGTCTTCTACCTAGTTTGGCCACTAACATGATTCAACGCACACATTCCAAGTCATGTCTCATTTGTCATAAGCAAGTATCCAACAACTCATTATCATCGACTCCAATGGATAGGATGTGAGGACTCATATTTTATTTTTATTTTATTGTTATTTATTTATTTTATCGATTTATTTATTTGGTGGTTCGAAAATAGTTATTTTATGCTTAATTACCCTACTATTAGTTAGTTATATCATCGTTACAAGAATTCCTTAGAAATTGCGCTTTATCGCGCGCGCGTCGAAAGTTCGCGTTTTCACGTGCGTGACTAATTGAAAGACTTTAGAAATTTATTTTATACTACTAAGAGTGAATAATTATAGTATTAAAGGAAGTACATTTGGAGGTTTAGTGTACAAGTGAAACGAATCCGAGAGAAATCGGACACGAAACGCGCATGTGCGCACACTATTCAAAGTTGACTTTTGCTCAAATTTGAACCACCAACCACCAAGCTTCTCCAAGAAGCTTTAGAAATCAGAACACTGTCTCTCTCTCCTCTCATTCTTGTTCGGCCAAAGCTTCCAAGGGAAAAATAAGAAGAGCCTCTCTTCATTTCACCTCATTTGAGCTTCCATTTTCACTCAATTTCTCACACAAACTCACAAACACTTGGAGATTCACTTACCCTTGGTGGAGAACCTCATTCTCCCCAGTTTTTCTTAGGAGTTTTGGGACAAAAGTTTCTGATTTTACACCAAGGAGTAGAAGGTAATCATCCGGTCACTTAATCTTAGTTCTAGTTGGTTAAATTTTGCTAGGAAGCTTGTAGCTTCATGGTTATCATTGTGGTTTGAGTTTAAATATTGGAGTGGGCTCTATGAAATCCCACAATGAACATATTAGACTGATATGGTGATTATGAGTGTTGTTAGTGTTAATTATGTGTTAAACAAGTGGATATAAGTTAGAAGAGTGAAAAGAAAACCGAAGAAAAGTTGCGTAGGAAGTGGCCGAATTCTGCCCTGTTAGTTTCGTGCACTTGGTTTGAATTTTTGATGCTCAAATGGCCTTGAATCTGATGTAAATATGTTGTATAGGATGTGTGAAAAGTTTCCACAAAAAATCATTTGATTTGATTGGGTAAAAGTTGGAATTTCGAAAATCTTCAAATCTGGAAAAACACTGCCCAGGTGTGCTGGATGGAGCAACTTTGAACGATCATAACTCTCTGCTCAGATGTCGAAATCAAGTGCCATTTGCAAAATTTGAAACTAGACATCCATAGTTTTCTAACGGTGTATCATGCATCTTCTAATTCAAAGTGAGTCATCTGTAGTGATTGATCAAATTCGACTGCCCTGTTCTGTCAGTCCAACTGAGAGGGTGGCTCTATTTTCTCTTGTTTGCAAACTGAATTTCAAAATGACTTCTTGTGATGAATTGTAGCCTATTGGATTTAGTTTCCAACGCCACCAACCATACTCAATTTCAAATTGAATTGAGTGAGATACAGTCCAATTCCCAAGCTATACCAAATCTGGAAAACCCTAATTTTGGCTAGCCAAATGGCCTAGCTTGACTTGGGACTTGTTGTTTTGAAAATTCTGATATCAATCACCTACCAACTGTATATTAGATGTTTTTTAGACCTTTGTTTCACAAATAAGCCAGAATTTAGTTGATTTCATTGGGCAAAATGTTTGAGAAAGAAAAAGGAAGCAAGAAGACAGATTTGTCTTGGGAATTCCTTAAATTTTGGTAGTTTAGTTAACTACCTTCCCATGAGAATTTTCAAATGAAATTTGTTAGAGGAGTAGTCCTCATATGAAAGTTGAAGTGTACCAATTTTGGTGACATTCTAAGACTGTTTTGATATACAAATAAGATCCCAAAGTTACATTTCAAACCTGGAAAAATGGACCGAGCAGTCCTTGTTTTTAACCAACTTTGAGCTGCTATATCTTGGTGCTCAAAACTCCGATTCTAGTTGTGCTTGTTGTGTTTTAAACCTTGATTGGAATTCTAATCAAGGTACAAATTTCAAAGGCTAGTTCACTTTCTGAGAATTTTGCCGAATTTCCAAAATTTACCGAAAACTAAGACTGAAACTGCCTTGGGAGTCCAAGTCAGCCCCTTTAAGCCAAGATTTGAGTATATTTCATTTAGAATCTTAGAAAAGTGTCTTCTAGAAACTTTTAGTACTTTGGAACTAGTTTCCAACGGTACCATGTTTTCCAATTTTGGACATACGGAGTGTAAGATATGATTTTTCAAATATTGCTCATCAAAACTGAAAATTTTGAACTTGAAGGGAATTGAGTTTTTAGAAACTCTTCATTACCCTTCGATATTAAATGACTATGTTAGACTTGAATCTTGAGGGAAAACAAGTTTCCTTGCATTATTAAACCCCTTTTGAGTCTCGATTTATGAGTAACTAAGGCTTTTTTTCATGATATTTTCTTAAATTGTATAAGTGTACAATCTCCTTTGTTAACTAGGGGTTATAAGTGATAGTATATGATAGTTAATTATTATTTTCTTAGGCACTCAAGGAGACCTTCAAGTGGATCTCACAGTGGACGCCTAAAACTCTCACTTGGATACTACTTCCTTGTTTTTAATTGGTGAGTGTCAAGTGCATGTTTTGTTGCAATTATGTGAATTGCTCCCTATGGACTGAAAATTTATAACTGCTGAGTCGAGTATGTACTTTATCGCACTCGTTCTCATTTAACTCAATCGAAATTTAATTGCCTGAATTGAATTGAATTACCTGAACTGAATTGAACTGAATTATCTGGTATGGCTGCTTATGTCGTTGGACTGAATCTCCTTGACCTATTACTGAACTATATACATATCGTTGGAGTGAATCTCCTTGATATACAACTGAACTGGGGAACGCCCAAACTCATCGGCCGACCTTGGACTCGAGCCGGCATGGGCTTGGTCGGGAACCTTGGTGAGCCATGAGATAACTGAAAGCTTGATCTATTGAGAGATCTTGCTTGGCCTACTCGTGTAGTAGTGCCTTTATAGCAGTTCGGGCCCGGTGGGGGTGTATGGTGGACGGAACTATGGAGATCTACGGACTTAAAATACTAATCCGGTTGATGGAGTGTTATCACGGGAAAGTATCCGATCAAGGTTGGCAAAACAAGTGAAAATTAGCTCTGAGAGTTACCATATCCTTGAATTGTTTCTGTTTACTTTTACCTGCTTGAAATGTTAATTACTTGAACGTTATGGCTTTACTTATTGATTATTATTGCTACTTGAACTACGTGCTTGCATGTGTATTTCTTGACCTCACTGAGTATTGGCTCACCTCATTAGTTTGTTTTCCTTAATAGGAATTGGAATGGAAGTAGTAAGGAACCGCCGACTTGAGGCACTTTTGTATTAGAGTTTTGATTGTAATTGACTAGACAATCTTAGAAGTTGTATATTTTGGAAAAAAGTGACTGTATCTTGAATTCGTGATGTAAGATGGAATTTATGTATGAATTGACTTCTTGTCTTTACTTTGACTTTCATTGTTAGCATTAGATTGTAAGTTTGGATTGGAAGTGTACCGAGTCCTGACGAGAGTTGGGCAAGCGTCCCGCCGATACCCTTTGGTTCGCCTCAGGGAGAAGTGATGGCGTCACAGTTGGTATCAGAGCGCTAGGTTAGAGATCTATTTGGGAGATATATTAGGGACTTTACCCTTAAGAATTGAGATGAGATGACTTAGTCATACCCTATGTGATATTTGAGCGAGATAGTGACTTTAAGTTTCTAATCTGAAAATTGTGTTTGTTTTGCAGGAGAATGGAAACGGGGAACCCGCAGCTAATGGTAACGGTCATGCTAATGGCCACGTGGAGCTCCTTAGGTCTATTTACTATCAAGCACAAGGTGGAGGAGCTTGTGTGCGCTACTGACCTTCCATTAGGTATCCTCGATGCATCTGTAGGGCGATGCACGCCTACCCGAATAGCCTCGTGTTTTCCATTGATGATGAGCGACGTCAGTTGGTGAATGCCAACAGAGCTCTACTTCAGGAGGTAGAGGAGCTAAGCCTTATGGTGAACGCTCATAGTGATAGGATTGCCGAGCTGGAGGGACTGGTAGTAGGCACATGATGAGGCGGCTAGGACTGAGGCTACGCATGATGAGGTTCAGAGGGTTAGAGCCTGTCTGACTAGGATAGATGAGGAGGTCGGGGATCGGGTTTCTGGGATCCTGCCAAACACTACTATACTGATTGAGGAAGTGATGGACATTGTTTAGAGTCCGGCCCAGGAGAAAGACCCTGAGGAGGATCCTGAGGAGGAGATTTCACCTGATAGCCCTACTGTGGATTAGATCTAGAGTGATAGACTTTTGACTGATGTAGTTAGGATTAGGTGGGGTGATACTAGTGCCAAGGCCATTGTATTTTTGTGTGATTGTGTGACCTACTTTTGAGGCACTTGACTTTACTTTAGTCGTATAAGACTAAAAGTACTTTTGTGGCACCTATATGCTATATTTTTGTACTATCCCATGACTTGCTAATTGTATGGATCTTAAAGTGTTAATGTATGTAAATTATTGTTATTTTCAATGTTTTTATGATTGGATCTTGTTTTCAACATTTCCTCACATAATTGATTTATTTCTTACACTAGGCACAACTAGGATTATGGAAGGACGAAGGAGTGGTCAAGATCATGAGCGAGGGACTAGACAAGCCCAATTTTACGGGGATGATCAGGGATCAGCAACTGGACCAACCCAAGGACAAGAGAATGTAGAGGGTAACCAAGTGGCTACTGCCATTAATAGGATGATTGATAGCCTTGAATGGTTAGTTGAGAGACAGGGTCCAGAACCACTTAACCAACCTGGAGGACAGGACAGAGGGGAAGATAGAACCTTGGAGAGGCTCCTAAAATTTAACCTACCTAAGTTCACTGGTAAATCTGATCCTGAGGTAAAGGAGAATTGGTTGGAGAGGATGATCAACATATTTGCCGCTTTAGACTATACCAAAGATAGGCGAGTGAATTTTACTGCTTTCCAATTTAAGGGAGTAGCACGTGCCTCGTGGGACGTGATAAAGGGAAAGTGGGAGAGAGTCCAAACCCCTTGGATTTGGGAGAATTTCACGAGGGAGTTTAATGAGAGATTCCTTCCGCCGCTAATCCAAGAGAAACAGGAGGACGAGTTTATAAAGTTGAAACAAGGAACTCTTAGTTTAGCTGAGTATGAAGGGAAAGCTTTCTAAGTATGCTCCTGAATTGGTGATCAATGAGCGGAAAAAGATAAGATGTTTTGTACAAGAGTTTAATGTAGAAATCCAAGAAGGCTTGACTTTGGTCCAAATCTCAACATTTACTGAGGCTCTAGAGAAAACGCAAAGAGTCGAGAGTGCAAGAATGCAAGTTAGAGACTTCCACAATAAGAAAAAGAACTTTTCTAGCCATACTTTTGGACAGGCTGGTAAAAGTACCCCACCTTCTAAGATGGGAAGAGGAATGGAAGGAGTAAGGACTGCTGGAGTTTCAAGGGGAGTTTTATCCAGAGGAGGTCATAGTGGGCCAGTTCAAGCGAGAGGAGTGCCTTCTAGTGGTTCGGCAGTGACACCTCAAGTTAAATATGGTTACTGTGGTAAATCAAATCATTCGGAGAATGAGTGTTGGAGGAAGTTGGGAAAGTGTTTGTTCTGTGGTAGTGCCGAGCACCAGCTTGCGACTTGTCCAAGTAAGCTGAAGATAGGAGGTAACACTCAAAGGCCAGAAAAGTCAACCTCAAAGCAGACTAATGCTGGAGGGAGTCGACCAAAGGTACCTGTTAGGGTTTACGCATTGGACTACCCACAGATCCCCGATGCGACTGAGAGTGATTGAAGGTACGATCCCTATTTTTCACCATTTAACTAAGGTTTTAATTGATCCGAGTGCAATACATTCTTTTGTAAACCCTAATTTTATGGGTGGAATAGACTTGAAGCCAATTAAGTCACCTTATGATTTGGAGGTAAGGACACCTACTGGGGATCAAAGTTTAATCGCTAACTTGATATATGAGGATTGTGAGATCTGGGTTGGGGAACGGAAATTACTGGCCGATCTGATGGGTTTAGCGATTAAGGGGTATGATGTAATCCTAAGAATGGACTGGTTAGCCTGTTATAATGCTCAGTTGAACTGTAAGATGAAAATAATAGAATTGTGGATTCCGGGAGAGGCAACCCTGAAATTGGATGTAAGGGGTAAATTAGGCTCATATGCACTTATCTCAGGGATTCGAGTTAGAAAAATGTTAAGTAAGGGAACTTAGGTATATTTGACTTTTCTATCAATACTCCTAATGATAAAGTGAAATTAGAGGACATACCTGTAGTGAAAGAGTACCCAGATGTCTTTTCTGAAAAATTAGAGTCTTTACCCCCGGAAAGAGATATAGTTTTTAAGATTGATGTGACTCCTCGTGACGCCTCGAAAGAAGAAGGGTTTTCATTCTATATATATGAATGTGTGATTGTGTATATCAAATATAATTGTGTGAGACTATATATATCTATATATATCTTTGTTGGAAGAGCGGAGGCGCGCAACATTTGAGCTTGGAAAGTAAAACTTTTGGTGGAAAGGTTCTGGACCAAATCCGGCCGCAAATCTGGCCAGTTCTTGGCCGGATTGTTGGCCGGATTGCTTGAGGGTTTTGAAAAAATTTTGGTCAGCTACTACCTAGAATCCGGCCGGAAATTCGGCCAGATTCCGGTCGGATTGTGACGTTACCTCCGACAGTAAACTTTGACTGGCTACTTTTTCTTCCTTCTTATCTTGTTTTTGACTAAAATATCTTCACTTTTTGCTCCTTGCTTGGCCAGCTGTTTGGGAGAGAAAACAAGAGAGAAAGTCTTCAATTTTTTTCTAGTTTCAATCTTTGCCAAAATCATGAGATTTAACCGTTAGTTTTGCAAATTGCTCCGATATCTAAGGTGATTGCTAGTTGTTGATGGAGTGATTTTTGAAAGGAAGGCTTTAAATTACTACCTTTCTTGAGCTGATAAGGTGAGTGGTAAGAAATTTCCTTTTTGTTCTAATAATGGTTAATTAGTGGCTTGTAAAGGTTAAAGATGCTATTATGTGAATGATTTCATGATTTTAAGTAGAGTTGAACCAATTTCTGATTTATTGGGGAATTTTCTGATTTTATATGATTATGGTTCATTGGTAATGGAATGATAATGTAAGTCCCAAAGACAACCAAGAGGGGGGTGAATTGGGTTGATTAAACCATAAAAGTTGAGCACAACATGCACTAGCGGCAATATATTCCGCTTCGGTTGTAGACAAAGAGATTGCATTTTGTTTCTTGCTAAACCAAGAGACTAAACAATTTCCAAGAAAATGACAAGTTCCACTAGTACTCTTTCTATCCACACGACAACCTCCAAAATCAGCATCCGAATAACCATATAGTGCAAACTCATTAGATCTAGCATACCAAAGACCATAGTCTAATGTACCTTTCAAATACCTAAAAATCCTTTTTACAGCATTCAAATGTGATTCTTTTGGACAAGATTGAAATCTAGCACACAAGCAAATAGCAAACATAATATCAGGTCTACTTGCGGTTAAATAGAGTAGGCTTCCGATCATACCTCTATAATGCTTTTCATCCACATGATTATCTTCTTCATCTTTGTCAAGCTTTGTAGAAGTGCACATTGGAGTTCCAACTTGCTTTGAGTCCTCCATGCCAAACCTTTTCAGCAATTCCTTGGTATATTTTGCTTGATTTATAAAAATTCCCTCAAGAGCTTGATGTATTTGAAGTCCAAGAAAGAAATTTAATTCTCCCATCATACTCATTTCAAATTCACTTTGCATAGTGGTGGAAAACTCCTTACATAGATACTCATTAGTAGCACCAAAAATAATATCATCAACATATATTTGCACAATAAGAAGGTCATTCAACACTTGCTTAGTAAAAAGTGTGGTGTCCACAACACCCCTTTTGAAACCATTTTCAATCAAGAAACCACTTAGTCTTTCATACCAAGCTCTTGGAACCTGTTTAAGACCATATAAAGCTTTAGATAGTTTAAACACATGACTTGGAAATTTTGTATTTTCAAAACCGGGGGGTTGATCCACATATACTTCTTGATCAATAAAACCATTTAAAAAAGCACTTTTAACATCCATTTGAAACAATTTGAAGCCTTTAAAGCATGCAAAAGCAAGAAGCATTCTAATAGATTCTAATCTTGCTACGGGAGCAAATGTTTCATCAAAATCAATTCTTTCTTCTTGTGCATATCCTTTAGCAACTAATCTGGCTTTATTTCTTACAACAACACCTTTATCATTCAACTTATTTCTAAAAATCCACTTTGTGCCAATGATAGGTTGATTTTGAGGTCTATCAACAAGTGTCCAAACTTTATTTCTCTCAAATTGATTAAGTTCCTCTTGCATTGCCAAAATCCAGTTTTCATCCTTTAAAGCATCATTGATATTTTTGGGTTCAAAAAGAGAAACTAAAGCAAAATTGTCAATCAATTTTCTAGATGAGGAACGAGTGTTTACCTTCTCGGATGGATCACCAATTATAAGCTCTTTTGGATGATTTTGGCTGAATTTCCAAGCCTTGGGAAGATTTTTGAGTGGATCATCATTTTTGTCTTCATCTTCCTCTTCTTGATCATTATGAACTTCATTCTCCATTTCAGTTGCTGCTGGTTTAGAGCTTCCTTCATTTCCAATTGATAGCTTTTCCATTCCTTCTCGAACACCTACATCATCATCCTCACACGAACTTTTGGAATTATCATCATTGGTTTCGTCAAATGTTATATGTATAGCTTCTTCAATCACAAGAGTCCTTCTATTAAAAACTCTATATCCTCTTTATTCTCACAATACCCCAAAAATATTCCTTCATCAGATTTTTTATCAAACTTACCAAGATGTTCCTTTAGATTCAAAATAAAGCATTTACAACCAAATACTTTGAAATAACCAACCGTAGGTTTCTTATCAAAAATCAGTTCATAAGGAGTTTTCTTCAAAATAGGTCTCAAGAGGATTCTATTCATCACATAACATGCGGTGTTTACCGCTTCAGCCCAAAGATATTTAGGCAACATACATTCATTCAACATAGTTCTAGCAGCCTCTTGGAGAGTCCTGTTTTTCCTTTCTACAACACCATTTTGCTGTGGAGTCCTTGCAATAGAAAACTCATGTGTTATACCATTATGATCACAAAATTCTGGAAAACCACAATACTTGAATTCCGTCCCATTATCACTTCTAATCCTAACAATTTTTAACCCAAGCAGATTTTGCACTTTAGCAAACAATGAAGTAAAATTCTTGAAGGCATCATCTTTATGAGCAAGAAATATCACCCAAGTGTATCTAGAATAATCATCAACAATTACAAAACAATATCTTTTACCTCCCAAGCTAGTAATTTGAGTGGGACCAAATAAATCAAGATGCAAGAGTTCCAAAGGTTTAGAAGTAGATACACACATCTTTGGTTTAAAGGAAATTTTTGTTTGCTTCCCAAATTGACATGCATCACATATTTTGTCTTTATCAAACTGATTTTTGGCAAGTCTCTAACCAACTCCTTTTTCGAAATTTCCTTTAGTAAATCCATGTTAAAATGACAAAGTCTTCTATGCCACAACCAAGGATCTTCATTTGAAGCTTTAAGACATTTTAAGCTAGAAGAATCAACTTTATCAAGAATCACAATATATATGTCGTTAAACCTCTTCCTTTGAACACAACATTATATTTGGAATCAAGTACAATGCATTCATGCTTTTTAAACAACACATACAAGTCTTTATCACACAATTGACTAACACTAAGCAAGTTATAACCTAAGTTATCAACTAAGAGCACATTATGAACAAAATTTCACCATCCTTACCAACATCACCTATTCCAATTGTCTTAGCTTTCACATCATCACCAAATGTCACTTTCCACTTGATTTTGATTTCAGCTTTATGAACAAAGAGGGATCACCGGTCATGTGCCTTGAGCAGCCGCTATCAATAAACCATTTGGACTTGTTTGATCCTTTTTCCTCATTATTTCCAATAGCCATGAAGGCCATTTGAGCTGATTCTTCTTCTTCTTCAACTTCCCCTTCGGAGTTGCATTCATTCCAAGTAATCTGAAAGTTGTTGAATCTTGGCTTTCGATCAGCTTTTCCATCTTTCATCTTCTTCATGGGGCATTCGTT